CCCATAGCAGTTCCGGGGCTGACCACCTTGCGCTGGAAGACAAGGCTTGCCGCGGGCCTGCAGCGCCCAGCTGGGAAACCTCAGTCCGAGCGCTGCGCTGGCCGCCAGCCCTGGGGAGGCACCAGGAGGTGCTGGAGACGGGCCGGAGCTGGTCTGGGCACTGGGGGAGGCGGGCTGGAGACTTGGGGCCAGGGCAGGAGCAGCCTGAGAAATCTGAGCTCAGCAGCGGCAAAGCGCCTGCCTGGCAAGCGCAAGGTCGTGAGTTCGGTTCCCGGTACCGGGGAAAACCAAAAACCAAAAAAAAAAAAACAAGAAGTCTGAGCTCAGACAGAACCAGATCAAAGCCCAGTGAGAGCCTGGGACAGCTTGCGTTCTCTGGGAGAAGGTGTGCACCGAAGTGGACCGGCCCGGCACCCCACTCATCCCACCCCCACCCCGCAGCCGCTCCTCCAGGGCCCGGACCACAGCCCTTCTCTCCTGAGTGCCCCAGCTCAAAACATGGAGCTTCCGGGACGCTGTTCTCTCCCCTGATGAGTATTTCCAGTGTCTGTCCAGAACTGAAGCTCAATACCGTGTTACTCCAGCTGAGAAATTAAATTTCAGGATTCCATTTTATAATGCCAGACGGAAGCCTTTTCCCTCCCTTTTTGTAAATCTTTAATTCAGTAATGGGGCCTGACCTCGTGGGAGGGCGAACAGTAACTCGGGTCTGCTTTGTAAATATCCTCGTGTTTATTGTCAAATCCCGGCAAAAGCTTGTTGCCTTTTTGTGAAGTTGGAACTAGACAAGGCCCCCTGGGGGGGAAGTGTTTATGTGTGTCTTGCTGGCCTTGAGGGATTGCTTAATGTCCTTCCATTCACTTGCTTAGTTTCTTTTATGGATTAGTACGGAAAACAAGGTTATCTTCCTTGAAAAACTGGTTTTCTTTGTCAAATAAGGAGAGTTATATAACCCACCACGTTTCCGTGTTTGCTTTCACTTCTAGGAAGCTCAAAGCTCAATGTAAGAACCAGTCTCATCCTTGTCAGTTTCAATTACCGCCCCTTATTTTAACATTATCCTTAAAATGCTCTTGTTTCATCACTGGTGTATTTTCTAATTCTAACGTGCCCTCCTTCCTTTTTGAAAGCAAGCACATCTGTTTCTGAGACGTATCCAGTGAAAAGTTACGAATAAAAAAAAGATTCCCAGAGGAGTTCATGTAGCAGTCTTTAAAATCTGAGGGTGGGGGGCTGGGGATTTAGCTCAGCAGCAAAAGCGCCTGCCTGGCAAGCGGAAGGTCGTGAGTTCGGTTCCCGGTACCGGCGGAAACCCCCCCCCCAAAAAAAAAATCTGAGGGTGGGGACCAGGGATATAGATCAGCTGCATAAGCACCTGCCTGGCAAGCGCAAGGTGCTGAGTTCAATTCCTGGTACAAAAAAAAAAAAAAAATCTGAGGGCGAAGTCTGGCAGAGTGGGGCACACCTGTAACCCCAGCACTCTGGAGGCTGGGGCAGGAAGATCTCAAGTTTGAGGCCAGCGTGGGCAACTTAGTGACAGTGTGTCTCAAAATGAAAAGTAGGAAGGAGTGAGGGTGCACTCAGGGGCGGAGAGCTTGCCCGGCACCCTCTCGGGTTTGACCCCCAGCACCGTGCCGCGCACACACTGCAGAGGTGACGGTGACCCCGTCAGCAGTGGGAGGAGCCTCTCCCAGCCCTTCTGCCCTGGAGCCGGGCAGGAGGAAACTTTGGGGTCCAAAAGGATCACGGTTTTCATGGAGTTGGTGCATGAGGCAGTAGCCTCAGGACAACTCCGGCAAAACGTCGTCACGTGGACGACCGGTGGCCACGGAGAGACCCGGACCTGAGCTCTCGTGGGACTTGCCGAGCCTCTCCGGGTTTCCGGCGGTGCCCTATCTGAACGAGGGTGACAGCGGGCAGAAAAGCCACAGTCACTGTCCAGCTCTGAACTGAAACACCAGGGGAGAGATGTATATAAAAGCATGCAGTAGCCAGGGATATAGCTCAGTGGCACAAGTGCCTGCCTGGGAAGTGCAAGGTCCTGAGTTCGATTCCCGGTACCAAAAAAATAAAAAAAATTTAAAAATACACCTATCAACACAGCAGGAGGGGCTGGGCATTTAGCTCAGCAGCACAGTGCCTGCCTGGCAAGCGCAAGGTCGTGAGTTCAATTCCCGGTACCGGAAAAAAAACACAACAGGAGAGTAAAAGAGCAACTCAGTAAGGAAGGCATGCTGAACAAGCCAAGAGAGTATCTGCATTTATTTTGGTCAAAGAAATCACCAAAACCATTTTTATGACACTGCATTATAATTATGACTTTGAGTTATTCTGCGGCGACAGGGATAATAATAGCTGCCATTTACTGCATAGTTATTATGTCTAGGCCTTATTTTTAGTGTTTTCAAGGTGTTAACTCATTTCGTCTCTCAAAGACTCTAGGAGGTCTGTACCGTTATTGTCCCCATTTTACAGATGGGGAGGCTGAGGCAAAGAGAGTTTAAGTTGCTTAGCTAAAGTCAGTGGCTGAGCCAGGATTCCTGCCCAAGCTTTTTGACTGCCAGCCCATGCCCTTGACCTGGAAGAGCTTATCTCTGCCTGGAAATAATCAAGTGGGTAAGAGCCAAACCAATCATTTGGGTAACCAGTCCTGGCAGCAGTAGGGTGAAGCTGGCTTTCTCAGTAGTGCTCACGGGGAAAGCCAGTCCACGCCGTTTGGAAAGCCACTTGGAGAGTCATATTGAGAGGTGCTAGAATATTTATAACTTTGACCCAGAAACTCTATTTCTAGGACTCTGCTGTGAAAATAATCCATCACATGGAGAATTCCTTGCAGAAAGCTGTTCATGGGCGGCCGGGCATTTACAGTGGAGTCAGCGCAGATGTTTGATGGCACAGGAACAATATTCACAAAACAGAATGGAACATAGTATTAAAAATAACACCTAGGGGCCGGGGATGTAGCTCAGCGACACAGCACCTGCCTGGCAAGCGCAAGGTCCTGAGTTCGATTTCCGGTACCAATAAATAAATAAATAAATAATGCCAAGCCGGGCACCATGGCCTAAGCCTATGGTCCCAGCCACCTAGGGGCCGAAATGCAGGCTCACTTGAGCCCAGGGGTTCAAAGCCAACTTGGGCAACAAATAATAATAATAATGATAATGCTTAGGATATGATGTTACTTAGTGAAGCAGGATTTGAGATTACATGAACACAATAATTCTATCATTTGTATGTGTAGGGTGGTATTATGCATACACGAGACCCAAGGAAATAGAATAAAACGCATTAGTGGTTGTGTTAGGTTGGTAAGGAAACTTTTTGGTTTTTAAACCTCTGTTTTCAAAAAGCATGTTATATTTTCTAATGAAATAATGTTGATTTTTTGCAATACTAGAGATGATATCCAGGGCCTCAGTGTGTGCTAGGAAAGCACTGATTGATATATATATACACATAATTATTTTGGGGGACAGGGTGTGGTTAAGCTGATAGGTTTCCCAGGATGGACTCAAACTTATGATCCTCCTGCCTCAGCCTCCCAGAATGCTGGGATTACAGGTGTGCACCACCATGCCTGGCTCCTGCTTGATTTTTATTTAAAGAAATGGAAAAGAAAATGAAGAGGTAGGTTAGATATCTGATTCTGAGGAGTTAAGATTCAGACTGGTACAGCTGGGACATAAAGGAGCCGCGGAAGGCCCCCAGCCTGTCTCCACAGGTCTTGGTCCCCAGCCCTAGCACTCACGAAGGCACCAAGTGAGGCCTAGTTTCCTTTTCACATTTTCAGAAAGCAGATCAGCACTGCTGGTTTGTGATTAGGAACGCCATCTGGCACCGGTTTATGTGGTAATTAACACAAACCAGGAGGCACTATTTCCGCACAGAGCCCTGAGGCTCTGAGCATCCACGGCCCGGCAGACACAGTGCAGGGCTCTTTCCCTCTGTCTCTGAGCTGTGGTTGCCCATTTCACAGTTTTTATTTTTGTTTTTGTTTTTCTTCCGGGACCAGGAATCGAACTCACAACCTTGCGCTTGCCCGGCAGGCCCTGTGCCGCCGAGCTAAATCCCCAGCCCCCATTTTTCACAGTTTTTAGACAAATTAGGGAAAAATCACCTCCATACTTTTCCTTGGAGCCGGAGAAAGAGGAAGCCCCAGAAATGCAGCCGGGGGGCCGGGTGCCAAACCCGCTTCCAGAGCCGCTGAGATCAGACAGAGCGCAGCAGGCTGGGGCTCAGGCTCCTGCGGGTGCCTGGCGTGCGGGGCGGTGGAAGGAGCGCGGTCTCCCATCTTCCGCAGGCGGGGCCCTCCCGCGAGGGGCACTGTCTGTCTGCAGGGTGAGGCCCGTGAGTTCCCCGGGTCCGGGACTCTCAGATCAGCTGCGTGGCAGTCACAGGGGCACTTGTCCCGAGCGTAGGACTTAAGAGTCTGAAGATTCTGATCCTAGGTCAAGGGTGGGTCTGAGGGTCCCCTCCACCCCGAATGGAACCCGGGGCCTCGCGTGTGCTAGGCCGGCGCTGTGACATTGAGCCCGACTCGCCAGGCCTGCAGCTTTCTTGCAAACAAAATCTACGTGTGACTCCCGCGCCCGGCAGGCCTGAGAGCGGGTTCTCCCAGAGCTCCGGGCGGAGGCGTGAACGACGACAGCAGGGACTTGGGATCCGCTCCTGTACCGGAGTAGTCGGGCCCCTTTCCTGCCGCCCCAGCCTGCTGAGCCTTCCTCCGACTTACAGGCCTGTCCAGCGCTTCTGGAGCGACCCTCTCCACACGCAAGCGCCTCTGGGAAGCCAGTGCCTCCCCGGGGGCCAGTGCTGGAGTCTCGGGCCGCACGGCTGCAGTTCCTGTGGGCAGCCTGCCCTCCCCCGCGCACCCCCGGGGAGACGCCCTGACCCGCCCCCGACACCTGTGCTCCCACCGAGGACAGGAAGCCGCGTGGGCGCACAGCGGTGGGATCCGTGCCTGCTGTGTCACTCACCCTTTTTTCTGGCTGTCAAAGGTGCAGATAATTAATAAGAAGCTGGATCTTAGCAACGTCCAGTCCAAGTGTGGCTCAAAGGATAATATCAAACACGTCCCGGGCGGCGGCAGTGTGAGTACCGTCACGCTTTCCACGCACCGTTCTGCGGTCTCCGTCGTGGGAAGTGGCGTGAGTGTGTACACCTGGCAGGCATTGCATAGAATAAATCGCCCTGGGCTCAGGAGCGCCCGTGTGCCCCGGGGTCCAAATCCCCGCGCTGTGTGGCTGTTCCCAGGCCTCGTGTTCCAGGCAGCGCCCCGGCCCCGGAGGCTGGGGGGGCAGCACAGAGAGGCTGGCGGTGCCCCGATGGCCCTCCCCGGGAAGCTGGGTCCTCACAGAACGGTGCCCGTCACTGGCCCCGCTCTCTGCCCTGGGAGAGCCCACCTGAGGCTGTGCTGTGGGCAGGTGGCCACTTGCTCTGACAGGTGGACGCAGAGGCCTCCCTGTCCCACGTTAAGGGCGAGAGGGCCAGGCTCTGCCCACTCGGGCCCCTGCATCTTCCAGGGAGGAGCCGCGTCCTGAGCCTCTCAGGGGAGGTTTACACCAGCTCCACCCCACCCAGGCCGAGACTCAAGGCGGCACAGGAGGGCACGGGTGACGCTGCCTGGGGTCAGTCCGAAGGGAAGTGCCACCTTCAGCCAGCCCACGCGTGGTTTCCCCCGAGTACCCCGGGGACGCCCTGGGTCACAGTGCTGTGACTGTGAAATGCGGGGCTTGACCCTCACTTCCGCGTCCCTGGGCTCACCGCGGGTCAGCCTGCTGCCTCCCTGTGTGTGAGCGCATCCTCAGGCTCTTCCCGGTGAGCTGTGCGTGAACTCGACGCCTGGGAACGAGGGGATTTGAGGCCCTTAGCCAGGCAGGGTGCTGCACACCTGCAATCCTCGCACTCCGGGAGGCTGAGGCAGGAGGATTGCAAGTTTGAGCCCAGTGTGAGAAATGTAGCAACTTGGTGAGGCCCTGTCTCTGAAAGAATTTAGGGAAGGGGGACCGAGACCCACCCAGGGAGCGAGGACCTGGCTGCTGGACGGCAGCACCGTGTGAGTGCCGGAGCCCTGCGCGGGCTCTCCCCGCAGAGCGTGAAGCTCGCCTGGAAGGTTTATTCTTGCAATGTGCTGTCTCGCCCCGGCGCCTGCCCCGCTCCTGCTCCAGGCCTCTGAATAGCAAGCGCTTGCCCTCCGGCTGCTGCATGGGCTTCACTAAGGCTCCCCTCCGGTGTCTGCTCCGTGTCTGTGCTGGCCCCGCCCCCTGCGCTCCCGTCCCTCCCACTTACTGACTTCTGCGAGAGGAGAGGTTGCAGACACCCTCCGCTGCGCACGGCTGGGCCCTGGGCCCCTGGGCCGTTGTTATTTGAGTGACTCTGGCTCTGGGTCCTGCGTTCCGGCTCTGCTGGTGCCTGCTCAGGCCAGAGGAGAAAGGCCGTGTACTTTGTCGTGTGACCCCTGTCCAGCTGGCCGGCAGGGCCGCGGGCCGCAAGAGGTGGATGGTCCTGCAGGGAAGGCGGGAAGAACAAGCACATGGGCCGTGCGGCCTGCTCCTTCTGGTGACAGGTACTCCACTGTCCCAGAGCAGCTGTAGTGCACGGGACACCGGGGGCTTCCTTCAGGATCTCCTGCACTGTGCCAGCGGGTGGGCTAGCCTGTGACCTCAGATAGAGCCACAAGATAGCCCAGGCTGACCCTGAGCACACTCCTTGTCTTCAGAGAGAGCCCCCTGGAGAAACCTGATGGGGTTGTGAGTCCCTGTACCCCGTCAGCCTCTGGCATCCTGGGGCGCTAGATCCTGCTTCTCCCTTGCTCCCTGCCCCTCCCTGTTTGGACGGGCTTCTCACTGGGGAAGCCCTGCCCCTCCTCCTGCTCGGATGCCGCCCCTTGTGCTGGGCTGCAGGCCCCTCTCCGCCTCTGCCCTCCCTCCACCTGCCCTGGTCTTCCTGCCCACCTGCCCAGGGGGCCTGCCCGCCATTCCCTTCTCTTCCGGCCCTTCAGCTGCTGTCTCCTGCCCCGACCTCGTCCTGGTTCCCTCACTGCTGCCCTTGCCCAGGCCAGAGGAAAGGGAGTGTGGCTCTGCTCCCGGCCGCGCCGCTCGGCCTCCACCAGCTCCCTTCTTCTGCCCACCCGGCCAGGAGCTCGTGCTGTCCCAGGCCTATCCACAGATGGTCCCTGTCCTCGAAATGTGGCTTCTTTCAGTAAACTCGGCGTGGTGCCGCACGCCTGTAACCCCAGCGCTCGGGAGGCTGAGGCAAGAGGGTCACAGTGAGTTTGAGGCCAGCCTGAGCTGCAGAGCGAGACGCTGTCTCAGAAAAACAAAAGATTTTGGCTTCTTCCAAATGTCCTTGAGGACGCCCTGTGCCCGGGGCAGGTGTGCAGACGCATCCTCAGGCGCTCCCGGCCCCCTCCGAAGCTCTCCCGTCTGCTGTGAGCGACCGCGACACCTGGGGACCTGGAGCTTTGAAATCCTTAGGGTTTCCGCTCCCACCCGCCTTGGGTGCAGGCGCACCCCACCCTCCCCACGCATTCCTGCCCTTCCTTTCCCTCTGCCGGTGAACAGCAAATGCCAGCACGGCCTCGAACTGACAGTGTGTGACTGTCCCACTTGGACCTAAGTAGAAACTCTTTTATCTGCTGGCTTTGAGCTGATTCTCACACTCGAGGCCTTCTCTCGCAGAGCCTCCCGTGTCCACACGAGGTCGGTCGGAGACCCCGGCACCCAGTAACTGGCCGTCCTGGCCGCTCGCAGCCATAGCTTTGCACCCCCTGGGCACCCCGCAGGGGAGCTGAGGTCAGCGGGTGGCTCGGGGCCTGTCATTCCCTGCAGGCAGACGGGCACTGGGCTCTTCCACGTCTGCGTCTGCTCCCGTGTGCTGAGACACTGAATCTGTGCTTGTGCTGTGCACCTGCCCGCCCTCCGCGTCACTGTGCTGCTTTGGTAGAGGCTGCGGTGAAGGCTGCACGTACTGATCATGCGGGGCACTTTCTCCTCTGTGTCTTCCCTGAATGTGATCGGTCAGTTTCGTGTTGGTGAACGGAGTAACGTTTTCACAGTGAAGTAGTTGCTCAATAAACGGTCTGACCCTTCACCATGACCAGGCGTTCCTGTTTCTCCCTGAGGGCCTTTTGCTCTGCAGGGCCCGAATTCCAACCCCACCGCTATTCTGTGAAGACCCAGCTCCCTTGGGAGCAGGTTGGCCCAGTTTCAACAACACATTTTTCCACCCCAGTTGGGTGTGTTTCTTGCTGGAGATGGGAACCACGGAGCGAGTGGCCCAGGCTCAGGCAGCTGCTTTTCACTGTCACGCCCATCGTAAAGTAATCCCACTTTGTTCTCTCTGTCTCTCTGTGTGTCTGTCTGCGCGTCTCTTACCCCCAGGTGCAAATAGTCTACAAACCAGTGGACCTGAGCAAGGTGACTTCCAAGTGCGGCTCCCTGGGCAACATCCACCACAAACCAGGTAGGTAGCCCTTGCAGCAGGTGAGGGTTGGAGAGAAAAGAGAAGGCGGGGCTGGCAGAGGAAGGTGCTGTGGGGGGCGTGTGGTGGGTGAAGCAGCTGGGAAGGGAGGACCCGCAGGCTGAGTGGTACACGTGGAACCTGCGGGGCCTGGGACCCGTGGCCGCCCCAGGCTGCCCTGCGCAGGACTGCGCTGGCCACAAGGAGGGTGGAGGGGGCGAAGGGCTGGTCTTGGTTCAGCCACGGCTCTGCAACGGGCTGTGTGCGAGGTGTTCCGGGCTGGCTCCGGGCCTGGCCCGGCCCCCAAAGGGGTCCCAAGCCAACGCGGGGGATTCTTCACACACCAGCTGCAACGTGAGACGCCTGGGCCAAGGCTCTGCTCTGGCTGTGGCTTTGAGATTTTTTTGTTTTTGTTTTTGTCTTTTTGAGACAGGGTTTCGCTATGCAAATCAGGCTGGCCTTGAACTTGCAACAATCCTCCTGCCTCAGCCTCCTGAGTGCTGGGATTATAGGCGTGCGCCACCACACCTAGTTGGCTGTGGCTTTGCAAAAACAGAAAACGAGATTACTAGAGCTCAGCCATGCCACTCTTCTCCTGCACTGTAGAGAAGCCAGTGCTGTCCATCTGTCTGCAGTGGAGAAATCTGTCAGTGCTGTCCAGTGTAGCTACTAACCCCATGTGGCTGTGGAGTACTTGAAATGAGGCTAGTGCAGCCGAGGAACTAATTTTATTTACCTAGAATTTTAGTAGCTGCATAGCAGGAAGAGCCAGGGAGGGAGAGAGAGGGCCAGATCTTTAGGGATTTTTGTTTTTATTGTTGTTGTTTTGTCTTTTTGAGACAAGGTCTCACTATGCAGTTCAGGCTGGCCTTGAACTCACTTTGCAGCCCAGGCTGGCCTCGAACTGGCAGTGATCCTCCTGCCTCAGCCTGCGGAGTCCTGGGATGGCAGGTGTGCACCGCCACGCCTGGCCTAGGATCTTTAGTTTGACATTTGATTTGATTCCAAGGTCTTGTGGGGTTGTAGCTCACAGGATGTTGATATAAAAAGATTTCTTTTGTTGGAAATTTGCCAATTTAGATTTTAACGTAATTTCTCCTGGAATGAGCTATTGTTTACTCTTGTGACATCTGAGGAGGAAGAGTTTGCAGAGTAAATATTTGATGCATACCTTGATTACAAAGGAGGCAAACCATGTTAAAGCCCTTTGCAAGGACTTGTAGCCAAACCCTCTCTAGGGAAAGCAGGTCTCACCAACCCCGAAGGGCGGGCTCGGCCCAGAATCCCTTGCTCAGCCTCCGTTGGAGTAAGTGTGAAAGTCACGTCAGGGGCCCTCCAGAGCGGTGGGGGCTGACCTCATCTTGCTGTGCCCCCAGCAGGCCCTGGCCCCTGTCACTCTAGGCTGCAGACCGTGTTTAAGGTGGGCGAAGTCCACCAAACCATAGAAGAGGATGTCTGTGTTGCGTGTTGTAGGAGGTGGCCAGGTGGAAGTGAAGTCTGAGAAGCTGGACTTCAAGGACAGAGTCCAGTCGAAGATCGGGTCCCTGGACAACATCACCCACGTCCCTGGCGGAGGCCATAAGAAGGTACGGGGCAGGGCGGGGAGGAGGCGCGTGTGGGTGCGGTGCCGGCTGGACCAGGCCCGTCCAGTCTTCCAAGAAGGAAGCGAAGGCTGCTCTGCCCTGGCCTGAGGCTGACTCTCAGCAGCAGCTAGGACCTCGGGCCCAGGCGCCAGCCGCCCCTTGCGTCACTGAGATGTGAGCTGGAGACGTGGACTGGTTGGTTTCAGGTACACCCGGGATCTGGAGGTTTCAAAGCTGCCGTGTGACTTCTAACGCCGTCTACAGTGAGAACCAGTGTCCCGGGCCTCGGGCTCGCAGGCGCCCCCGAGGGCACACAGCCGTCCCCAGAGCCGCCCCGGTACCCCAAGTCCCAGGGGCAGCCTGATTTCTATTGGGTGACTCAGTAGTTAGCACGAGGCGGGGACGCTGAGATCTGCCTGTCCATCAGGGAAGTGTCCACACGGAGGCTGCCGGACCGCACAGTCCCCAGCGGCTCCCGGCCGTGGATGTCCGTGCGGGGCTGGCGAGGGCCCCTGAGCACCGCCCCCGCACGGTGTGCCTGGCCGCCTGCTGCACTTTCCTCTGCAGTTCTGGGCGGGGCTCCCTTCCCAGCCCCTGGTGGCGGATGTCCTCGAACAGGCGGAGACCCCACCTCAGCCTGTGTGAGAAGCACAGCGGGCCGGAAGTGGCAGCTGGCCTATCAGCGTGCGGCGCTGGGCGGCAGCCTGGAGGCCCCTGCCCTGGCCAGCCCCGCACCGCACTCTGGGCCTCCTCTGCAGCCCCTGCCCCCCTGGCCCTGGTTCTGAGCGGGGAGGCACACCCCAGCTCTGCTGGGGGAATGGCCGCCGGCCTAGTTCTGTGGAGAAGCATTCGCCGGTCTGATCACCCCAGACAGGGCGCCCTGGGGTGAGGGCAGGCGGGGAGTCCTGCCCCCAGACGGCCCGCGCCTCCCGGCTCCCAGGGTGCCCGCTCTGGGGTGTCTGGAGAACCAGGTGAAACAAGTTTCGGTGGCACTTCTGCTGCCCCAAGTGCTCGAGCTCTGCCCAGGACCTGGGTCCCTGTCGGAAGCAGGGAGACGGACGGACGGGAGGCCGGTGCCTGAGGAGCACAGAGGAGGGCCCAGTTCCCTGGGAAGTGGACAGGGGTCTCCGTCAGAGCCCAGGACTCCATTGCCGCTCCACACCTGCCTGGTTTAAGGCGGCCTCCTGGCCCGGGGAGCTTTAGTCATCCTCTCGCCTGGCGCCAGCCCACAGTCTGACCCAGTGTGCCGGGGGCAGGCCTGGGCTGCTGAGATTCCCTGGTGAAGGGAGGTTTCTGCAGTCTCTGGAAGCGTCTATGCCCTGGAAAAAGCTCCAGGCTGGCCTCTGCCTGGAGGTCTCATTTAGGCAAGATCTGCAGACCTTCAGCCTCTATTTCTTCTTCAGCAAAATAGGGTGGGAATATCTACATCCCAGGGGGCTTGAGACCCAAAAGAGACTGGACGCTGCCTGGCGTGGCGCAGTCCTCTAAGAACCTGAGTCAGACACTTTTGAGTCCAAACTTCTCAGCTTCTCCATTGCTTACTTATTTCTGTGCTGGCCCAGAAAGGGTAGGCAGGCCCTGCTCCTGCTCCGAAGACGCCGTCCCAGGACAGCTAACAGAGCCTCGGCCCTCCTGGGACTCATTTCCCTAGTGTGAGAGCAAAACTGCCCACAGTCAGCGGAGCACATGATCAGCCCCGGCTTCCTTCCAGTTTGGGAAGTTTTGGGATTCCTAGGTGTCTATTGCTTTTTTGGTAAGAGACAAAGCCCTGAAAAAACATTAACATAAAGCGAGGTATGGTGGTGCAGGCCTGTCATCCCATCTGCTCAGGAGGCTGAGACAGGGGAATTGCAAGTTCCAGGCTGGCCTGGGCTACACAGGGAGACCCATCTCAGAAATGAAATAAAATAATAATAATGTCAGTGTTCTTATCAAAATTTTTCTCAAGTAGCCTTTCAAATACGGTACTATGGAAGGGGTCTCTTTCAGAACAGGGATCCTAGCCAGGCGTGGTGGTAGACACCTATAATCCCAATACTCTGGGAAGCTGAGGCAGGAGGATGCAAGTTTGAGCCCAGCCCGGGCAATTTAGCAAGACCCTGTCTCAGAATAAAAATAAAAACGATCAGGGCTGGGATGTAGTTCAGCGTGAAAGCTCTGGATTCAGTCCCAGTACTGCAAAACAAACGAAAGTAAGCCCAAGTGAGAAACGTGCCCGCAGCCTCAGGGGGAGCCCGGTTTCTCCGTATGAGCTCGTGTAGGGTCTGCAGGAGGGGCTCTGCCTATGGGGCCCGCGGGGCCGCAGCTGTTTGGAGAAAGGCGGTGTGTGGGTGCACATGTGTATACATTCGTTCCGGCCTCGCCATGTGCTCAGGGTGGGGACGAGAGCAATCTTGAGGATTACAGGGCCTGCTGTTGGGGGTGAGTTATACACATAGTGCTTCCCACTTCCGCGTTTCCCAGCGTGCCTTGGGCTCCTGGCTGTGTTCAGACTCCTCGTTGGTCACTAGCGAGGAGGAATGTCTGGCTCACGGCTGGCTTTGGTGGCTGTAGGGACAGTTCTTGAGCGGTAGCTTCTCCCCTAAGACTTTCAGTGGCAAGCGGACAGTGATCAGTACACAGAGCTTGGGTGTAGGTCACGGGTAGAGTGCTTGACTAGCATGAGCCTCAGTACCGCAGGGGAAAAAAAAAAAGAGTGCCTTTTGACCTAGCAATTCTGCTTCTAAGATGCTTACGTGTGAAATGATGTGTGTACAAGGTTACTCAGAGTCATTCATACACAGCCTTGTTTGTAACAGCAAAAAACTGAAACCCATTAAATACCCATCTGCAGGGGAGTGGATAAATTTCAATACATCTGCAGTTTATATCTGCTGATGACATGTCCTGAGCAGGCATCAGCAAGCGCAAGAAAGCCCTCGGTACTGAGAACAGAAGACATTAACGCTGAAAGCCAAAGTGCCAAGCGTGTGTATATTGTCACTTTTTTTTTTTGTCTTTTTGAGACAGGGTCCCGCTGTGCAGTTCAGGCTGGCCTTGAGCTCACTTTGTAGCCCAGGCTGGCCTCGAACTTGCAACGATCCTCCTGCCTCAGCCTCCTAAGTGCTGGGATTACAGGCGTGCCACCACGCCCGGCTGTTGTTGCTACACATGTTAAACAGCACACATCCGTGCGTGTGTGGGATAGCTCTGGAGCACGCGGGTGAGGGAAGGATCGCGCACACGGACTGTCCAGGAAATCTAAAGCCCAGCGTTCTCCCACCCACGGCCTGTGGGGCAGCTGGCTAGGCTCATCCTTCTCCTGCCATCCATCCCACCCTCTCCCACGTCTCTTCCCTGTAGATCGAAACCCACAAGCTGACCTTCCGCGAGAACGCCAAAGCCAAGACGGACCACGGGGCGGAGATCGTGTACAAGTCCCCGGTGGTGTCCGGGGACACGTCTCCCCGGCACCTCAGCAACGTCTCCTCCACCGGCAGCATCAACATGGTGGACTCGATGCAGCTCGCCACGCTAGCTGACGAGGTGTCTGCTTCCCTGGCCAAGCAGGGTTTGTGATCAGGCCCCCGGGGAGGTCCGTCATCGTGGAGAGAAAAGAGCGAGAGAGTGTGGGAGAAAAGAACACTGACCCGGCCCTTCGCCCTCTGCCCTCCCCGCTGCTCCCCACACGGGTCGGTGGGGTCCACCACCTAACCCGCTTTCGCCGCTCGGCTCTGGCTCGGGACTTCAAAATCCGTGATGGGAGTAAGAGCAAATTTCATCCTTCCAAATTGACCAGGGGGCTAATAATATTTTAAAAATGTGTAAAAACATGGCCACCCCCACCATTTCCTGGGCATTTCCTTTCGGTTCTTTATTTCCTCCCCCCCAAGTAGAAGAGGGAAGGAGAGGTCTGGAAAGCTGTTTGGGGGTTTCAAGGGACTGGGGTGCTCGTGCCTCTGGCCGCCTCCTGGGGTGTCGCAGGGACAGCAGCGCAGAGGGCCTGAGCCTGGGTGTGTGTGTGCAGCCACGGGCGCGAGGCTGGGCGCGGGAGGGACGGACGGCGGGAGGAGCGCGGGGCGGCGGGGCCTCAGTGACCGCCACAACCCCGCCTTGCGGCTTCTGGGATCTGCGGGGCCGCGTGCCCCTTTGGAGGCTGTCCCGCGGCCGACGGGGCAGGCGGTGGCGCGGTATTACTCCTTCCGCCCAGAGCTGCGGCCTTCCTCTCCCGCCGCGCAAGGCGGCTCTCCCGCAGCCCCGCCCCTGCCACGCTGAGCTCCGAGGCCTGCAACTGCCTGGCCGTGGGGCCGAGCAGTTCTCTTCGTAAGCACTGGTGCCTCCTGCTCGGGCTGCGCCTGGGGCTACAGGGTCGGGGCGTGCCTGGGAGGTGCGTCCTGAGCCTCCCACGCCCTCCACGGCCATGCAGGCCCCTGCCCGCCCCTGTGCCCAGGTCTGTGTGACACATCAGTCACTGTCCCTCCCTCATTACGTCACACTGGCCGAGTGCCCCACCTACCCCAGTCACGGACACTGGCTCCATGCGAGGGCACCTGCCGTGCAGTAGGGTCCAGGCACAGGGCTGGGCTCAGGCGCTAGCTTAAATCCCACTCATCTGACCGACGTGCCTGTCACAGAAACCAGTGACCTCGCCGGGCCCTCTCCTCGCCCTCCCGTCACGCGCGAGCCAGCGTGCGCTATTCAGGACTGCCCTTAGACTTCTTTGCCTTGTTCACTGGAGACCGTCTTCTCCCCCCGGCCTGGCCCCAGGCTTCCTGCCTTGAGCTGGCGGCAGAGGACGTCCTGCTCGTCACCGATGGCGCCAGGACGGGCAGACAAGATTCCGAGTAGGGTCGGACCCCCTCGGCCTCCCACTCCCACCCCAGCTCGTGACCGCCCGCCCCAGAGCCCCACGCCGTTCACCTCCACACGCATGGACCCAGCCTTCTGTACCCCAAATGACGGACATGCCCCTTGGAAAACGGTTCTTACCCGAGTCCCAGCCGGGAGCGACGCAGCCTGACCTGTGCGAGCAGCCCTCCCCTCCCCATCCGCTCCCCGTTGCATTGTGGTTGGACTTGTCTTTTTATGTTTGGGTTCACAAGAGTGACTATGATAGTGAAAAGAAAAAAAAAGGACGCATGTATCTTGAAATGCTTGTAGAGGTTTCTAGCGCACCCCCGCGCCGTGTAGGAACTCGGCCTCAGGCTAGCGTGGTTCCGCCTCCTGTGCCGCCCAAGTTTTGAGTTTCATCAGCATCTGGGACCTGAGAGACCCGATTCTGGCTGAGGACGCCCGACTACGAAGGCCCGAGGCCCAGGACTAGGACGGAGGCGTGGGCCGCCCTCTCCCCAGGCCTGGCGTGCAGCGTGCAGCCGGTCTTCTCCGGCCACAGCCTCAAGTCCCTCAGCAGCCCCAGGAGGTCTTACGAGCTACTGTACCACAAGCAGCAGCCCGGGGCCAGCTGGGGAGGACAGCTGCAGGCCAGGAGGCGCCCCCGGCCTGGGGCCGGTCTGCTCTGCCGGCCTCGGGTGGACTGCCTGACCGGGACGACTCCAGCGGGCCGGGCTGCCTGCCGGAGGGAGGGGCCCGCCGGAAGACACTGCTGGTTCCCAAAGCCTCCTCGGCTCGCTGGTCTTGCACAGACTCTGCCGCGGGGGTGGGGGCGCAGGCTTGGCAGAAACTTGGCAGCCCCGGGCTGGGGCCGCCTTTTCTGGCTTAGGTCTGATGAAAGGCAAACCCGAGGGCTGGCCGGGCAGACCCCTCACCCTGAGGCTCCCTGCTGCCCGCGTCCACACTGTCCTCGAGAGCGCTCTGAGACAAGTGTGGCTGAGACGTGCGGCCCGCGTGACGGCCGGGTCTGGGCTGTTCCTTCTCGTACCTCCTCCCTTCCCCTGCAGTTCACGCAGCCTGCCCTGCAGCACCATCTGTGAGTAGGTGGGCTCCTGGGGACAGGCTGGAGATCAGGGCTTTAGGGTGACCAGGCCCATGCTGACAGGTGGACTGCCGGGCGGCGATTATGCGGACAATCCCCCCAGGGCTGGGCACTCTTCCCCCGCTCCCTTTCCCCCACCTTCAGAGGCCAAGGTCCCGGGGTGGGCTAGACAGGATATATACTGTATGCCCGGGTCCCTCAAGCTGTGGGTTCACTTTATCAGTACTTCCATTTGAGCTCACCTCAGTGGTGAGACTGTACCGTTCGCGATTGCTTGCTGTGCGGTGGGGGGAGGGAGGAACACGTAAGCTACTTCACATGGGCAAAGGGCAGTCTTGGAGTGCTTCAGTTAAGCCGCCTTGTAACCCTGTCACGATTTCACCCACACTTCGGAGGTGCCACGGGGCTCGAGGCCTGGGGCTTCGACGCTGCGCCCAGGCTCTCCCTGCTGCGGGGCAGCCAGTTCACCCCACCCGCTTCCCCGCCAGGTACAGGCTGTCAGGCCTAGGTGGGAACCTGAGATCCCGCTGCTTGGCTCGCTGAGCTTTTGCGGTCCCTGAGGCCCTGGCGTCCTTCCCTGAGCCGCTGGCACTGCAGGGTCACCTCTCCCACCGGCTCCCCACGCAGTCCACGCTTGCAGCAGCTGCTGAGATCTCTTACTTACCTTGTCTTTGTTCCCCAAATAAACCAAGCAGCGGGGACAAGGGCAGAGGCGGCCGGCAGCACGGGTCTGTGGCTTCACGAGCCTCCTCCCACTGTCTCGGGCTTTGGAAAGGGTTACCCTGGGCCCCCGCCCGGAGTCTCCTCACAGACCGAGCCTGTGCATCTGCTGTTCTGGGCAGGTCCGTTTCCAGCACTTGCAAGTCCCATGATTTCTTTGGTACTTCTGAGGGTGGGGGGAGGGACACAGAATCAGCGTAGCTTAGCTTCCTGTTTGTGAATGTCCATATAGTGTACTGTGTGTTTTAACAAATGATTTACACTGTTGCTGTAAAAGTGAATTTGGAAATAAAGTTATTACTCTGATTAAATGAAAGTCTCAGTTCGTGGTATTCCAAGGACAAGAAAACGATGTAAGACACATGATTTCCAAGCTTTTCCTGCCCTTGGGAACTCAGGACAGGAAACGCAGTACTGTTAAAGCTGGACATCAAGACGAGCAGCTTGTGAAGCGGTGGAGGAGTAAGAGTTCAGACTCGTTCGTTCCCCATTCCGAGTCTCACTCCGCTGCTGGGCACATCCAGCTCAAGGGCGGTCAGCAGGCCCGCGGCCGAACCCACACGCTGCGGTGTGTACGACGCACCCCAGCGGGTCCAGTGAGAAAGCGGGAGTGGGCGTACATTCCATTTTTGTCGCTGGAGGTCAATCTAGAGGGCCCAGGCTGAAGCAGAGGACAAGCCAGTCACCTGAACCCACGGCACAGGTGCCACCCAGGCTTACGCACACACTCAGCTGCCGTTCTTTCCTTTGGAACCTTGTAGACTGAGGAATGTTTTCATTCAGGACAGGGACACCAGAGGCTGGAGGTGGATAGCTCAGCGCTACAGCACTTGCTGCTGTGAGGATCTGGGGTTCACACCGAGCGTGGGGGGGGGGAGACACCTATAGCTTCTCCCCAACAATGAATGTCACAAAGAGGGCGTGTGAAAGTCCTGAAGTTTTCACACCAAGTTTTAATTACTTCCCTCAAATCTTCCTGGCCTACCTCTGCAGACAGCTGCTTCGGCGAAGCAGATTTTAACCTACAGGAGCAGCCACAGGCCGGCCAACGAAAAATGTTCTCAGGACCCCAGCTTTCAGAACTGTCACTGCAGCCTCACTAGATGTTTACCTCGACCGCCTCAGACAGAAGAGAGAGGGAACCAGGCCCGCTCACTAACCCACCTTGTTCAAGGACACCCGGCACTCAGCCGTTCTCAGAAAACAGACACGGCGCTGTCACGTGGCAGCCAGCCCATACACACACATTCCTGACCCCCAACCCAGAACAGTTCGATGATGGAAAGTACAATCTCCATTAAAGAGCAACACAGGTTTCAAGACTACACTCACTGCCTCTTTAGAGAAAAGGACATCAGAACACCGAGGAGCAATGGACCAAGTGCTTTCACTCAGTGAGAAAACGAGATGATCTGGGCGACCTTTACCCCAGTGAGCGCCACCACCCCTCGTCACGTGACCTGCCAGCTCCCAGGAGACCAGAGACCTGAGGCGCGCCTCCTCCGGAAAAGCCTCCGCCAGAGCGCCACCCCAGCCCCGAACACCCACCCAGTATGACAAGACGGCCAGACACACAATGTTCTGTAACTCTTTTTTTATTTTTTTTTTTCATTTTTTCTTTTCTTTTTTTTTAAGCACTAGTCTGTGCTTTGCGAACAGAATCAAGACATTAACAAAGATCAGCTTCTCTGAAGAAAAGCATTTCTATAGAACAAAGACAGCTACATGTTTCGCTGCCATTACACAGCTCAAAGCAGGAAAAGAAAATATTTACAAAATACAAGTTTTTTTTAATTTTTGTTTTTTTTGTTTTTTTGTTTTTTTTTTACAATGCTAAAAGGGTTATTCAGAATTTTCAACCTTATAAATAGAAGAAGCACTTTATGCATAGGGATATGGTGCATTATTGTTGTTTAAAGAAACAATGACAAACCCTTTAACTTGCAAACAGAACCGGAAAAAAAAAATCACTAATGTTGAAAATTGTGAAAAAACCCCCGAACCATTAAGCAGTTTGTCTACTATTTTTATACGATTACAAAATGGCAGGAAAAAAAAGTCCTTCCCCCCTCCCCCTTTTTGGTGATGTGATTATACATGAGACAGGCACAAGGTTAACGAAGGAGGCGACGGGAGGGATGGAAACCACAGCTCGGACCAGACAAGCTCCACAGGCGGGGGTGCGGCGGGCGGAGCGGGTAACTGACACTGACGGGAGCTGGAGGTGAACGAACATGATTACGTGAGCCCGTCAGTGAGAACGAAATTATACAGGGGAGACGGCTGCTTACTTCCCAGACCCCTGGGGAGAGAAGACCAGGATCAGGAGTCCTAACCCCGCCTGCAGACCAGGACGGGCGCACGACCTTCAGGGCGGAAGGACCGAGGCGTGTGGATGTGTGCGCGCGGAGGGCGGCTGGGCAAGGGTGGGCGCGGGCAGGGCGGGGGGACCTGAGCAGCCGCTGCCAGGTCACTGCCGTTAAGGAGTCAAAACAGAGATGACCAAGTGCAGGTAAAACAAAGTCAGCCTTGAGATACCGAGACAAGGGGAACCTTCCCGCCAGCTGAGAGCTCAGGGAGAGCAGCCGGCAGTTAAGGCAAAGAGGTTCTGGAGGGTCATCGTCCAGAAAACCAGGCGGATCCAGCCAGGAAGGAAGGCTACAGATCAGCCAAGCCACAGACGGGAGGGGAGGGCTCAGAGCCCACGGCGCCCTTACCGGTCCACCCTAACGTAAGGCCACGCTGAACGGCAGCTTTCCGTCCCTTCTGCCCATCTGGCCTTCCCACCCTGCCCGCAGGTGAGGGAGAGGGGCGATCATCTAACAGTGATAAGTCCAGTGATTCAACAGGGCAGAGGATGTGCCGGGACCAGGTCGAAAGGCCTCGTCCTGAACTTCTGTCTGCCAGCTGGAGGAAGTGCTCAGGTGTGTGACAAGAAAACATGGAAACAAAACAAAAATTAAAACAAGAAAAATAATACCAAAGGAGGATCTAAATTCCTTAAATTCACTAAAAACTGTGAAAATTTCCGGCATATGATGTTTGAATATCAAACGCAGAGATCTCTGAAGCTTTAATGCCAAGTTAGAGAGTCTGTCTCGGTTCTCGTCTCCTGCTCATCTGTGAGCCGGGCGCTGAGCTGTGACCGCCGCCGCCAGATGCCGACTTTTGAGGGGGACAACGGGAGGCGAGGTGGGTGCCGCCTCTGCCTCTCGGCCAGTCTTGCTGCCTGAGGTCCGTCGGGTGCAGCGGGCTGCCCGTTCCTGGGGATCCAGCTGGTCCTCACACTCAGCCTGGGGACTGTATGGCAGGGGAAACGTCCGCCGCTCCCACGGCTGGACAGACTGTGGGCAGACAAGGCGCTGTGGTGAGGACCGCTCCCAGCCTGCCTCTGGCCTTGAAACCGGGCCTGGGGTCCGTGACCCCCAGTGAGGGCGCCTGAGGAGGTCTGGCAAGACCCCGGCAGGGCCGCTTTTAACAACGGCCAGCACAGTTCCACCCTGTAACTTTTTTTTTTTTCAGAGCTGGGGATTGAATCCAAGGGATTATTCACGCTAGCCAAGTGCTCTGCTATGGAGTTACATCCCCAGCCTTTTTTATTTTTTGAGGCAGGATCTAAATTGCCCAGGCTGGCCCGAAACGCACATTCCTCCTGCCTCAGCCTCCCAAGTAGTTGAGATGATGGGCATGTGCCTACACACCCGGTCCGTTTTACCTGCAAATAACTTCAGGCGCAGCCCTCCACCCTCTCAAAACAAGGGGGCGTGTCATGAAGATCTACCTTCAGCAGGTGCTGTCTCCTTTGGACCCCGCCATCCCGCCAACCCCTGCGAAGATGGGCTTACCTGTTCATCCAAACCCAGCTCTGGTGTGGGACAGCGGGCGTCTTCGCTGGCTAAGGGTCTCAGGGCGTCCCGGGCCACGGGGGTGAGGGGTGCTGAGTGCAATTCTGGGCTAATGGGGCTCCTAGGGGACTGACAGTGGGAGAACTCCGATAAAGAGTGGCTACTGCTGACATCAGGGGAGGCGGGCTGCGGGGTGGAGGGGTTGGCACTGCCCAGCTGGGGGGTGGTCCGGCCGTCTGATGACCTGTAAGACCTGTGCACCAAGGAAGGCCTATGTCAGTACCTGAGTAAATAAGGAACTTCTTGTCTGTTTCTGGGGACGTGGGGGTGAAGAGGAGGCACGAGAGAGGCACCCTCGCCATGAAGCTGAGGCTGACAGCATTCTCCTAAGACACAGCAAATCCCACTTGCTTCACGACTGCCCGGGGGGCAGGCACACAGCACGGGAGCCAAGCACTGTGTGTGTTATCACCGCAGGAACACTGTGTGTGTTATCACGGCCTTCAAAGCTCCTCTCTAATCCCTGGCACAGAGCCTCACGGACCCATGGGGGTTCGGAAATTTACCCAGACCCTGGTGTGAACGAAACACAACCCAACAAGATGAACTGAAGACCCCAAATTTTTCTATTTAAGAATCTGCAGGTTAGGGGCTGGGGATTTAGCTCAGCGGCAAAAAGCACCTGCCTGGCAAGCGCAAGGTCGTGAGTTCGGTTCCTGGGACCGGAGAAAAAAAAAAAAAAAAAAAAAAAAAAAAAAAAGAATCTGCAGGTTTTGTGCTACCGTTAGGGACAGACAGGACAGTGACATACGGATGGGACCGTTCTAAGGTAGAACCATAAAAAGCACAGTCCACCACCCCGAAGAGGGTAACTTGAGAAAGGCCTTAAAAGCTCCTCTGGCTAAATTATCACGATGCCCAATGGCCTCCAAGTGCCACAGCAGCTCACTAGAATTTATGAGAACAGGCTACAGACTACTTAGCAAGGATCTAGCGTCCAACTTACAAATTCACTGCTCCTACAAATACCAAGCAAATCTTACATTCTCAGCCATTGGCAGTAGATAATTACATGAAGAATAAGGAGGCAGCGGCAGGCCTGCATACAAGCAGAGCTCCGACTCCCTGCCCACCTCCCCCACAGGCCCTGGGGTCTGTGCCCGCCCCCTCACCTGCTGCCCCGCCTCTGGGGTGGCACACTTGTGGTCCACAGCCACCGAGCCCGCTCCATCTCCTCACATTTGGCATGCAGGGCGGCGAAGGCTGCATCTGACAAGTCTTCAATCTGCAACAGAGCGGCTGCATTGGTTGCCCACCCCTCCGTGAAGGTGGACTTAAGCATGGGCCACTGCATACCAGGCCCACCCTTTCTTAGGTTCTTCCTGGCCAGGGTAAGGCCGCACCGAGCTTGCACTTGACTCAGACAAGGCTTATGGCATCTGGGATGTGTGCACACATGCGCTGAG